TTTGGGGCAGAAGAATTTGTACATTTCTTTGTTGTATTCTTTCTTATGTGCTGGGCAATACATATCACCTTATTCTGTTGAGAGTAAGGCAGATTATTCAACATAAGTAAGATACTCTGTTTATATAATACAGCTGCACCTGGCCAATTTTCTCATAATTCTTACAGAGCCTTTAATTGTCATTATGTTTGTAGCTGACAAGTAGCAATTACCTAAACACTGCAGCATTTCTGTATTAATCAAAGGGCTGATTCTCAAAGAAACAAATGACAACCTCCCCCCGACATATGTCTAATGCAGAATACACATATATTTTAACTCATTTTAAAATACAAATCCAATTATTTGTTTAAATCTCCTAGCATTAGATTTAATAGCAATTTTATATTAAAAATGCACAGATATTTAACACTGTGAAAAGAGCTAAAAGTTATATTAAAATGTAAATAAGGAAGACGGAAATGTGTTTTTGGAAGAAATGATGTATTTTTGAAGGTGTCTATTATACCTGTCCAAGTTTGTCCTATCTAGAAGCTTAAAAGATTTCTTTTTCAATGTTGTCTCATTTTTATTGAAATATCAAATAGTAAACCCACTTCATTAAGAATTGGGCTTTATTAACAAGCGATTTGTTTGCTGTACAGGCAGCAGGATCCATTTCCACATCAGATTCTGTAATATCTGAATATTTGGGAATTGACAAGTGTTTGTTTCGTTTGGCGTCCGCATCACCCTCTCATCGTTGGGCCGTAGTGACATCGTTAGGAAGGAAATTCGTGCCTTTGGGACTCAAGACGCCGGGAGGAAGCCAGCACGTGGGCATGACAGGCTCAGACCAGTGCTTCTCCGTTTTTTTTTCTTATTGTGTTTCATAGTAAGAACTGCATTTTTCATCACCATCCAGTATACATATACAGATAAGTGACATTTTATGAAATATTTGAAGCACGAATTTTATGAAATACTACTTTCCTTCACTAATGTCAGGTATACATTTGTATTTTCAAATTTAATCTATTCTTTTGTAAACATGTGCTGATGGTGACCCTTGTGTGATGACGTGTGAACGGAAAACACCAACTGAAGTTGTCTGTACTGTGGCGACCTTCTGGGGCGCCCACATGGCAGCGTGCCTTTTCCCCACACTAGCTCCCCGCTTCCTTTCTGTCGATGCCTCATGGTTCAGGCCACTGTGACTATTCTGAAGAAACTTCAGAAGGGGCTGCAGAGGTTTTCGTTCCCCACTCGTTGCCCCCTGGAGAGTCCCCGGGTGCTGTCGGGTGGTCCCAGTAACGGAAGGGAGGTGGCCCAGCTCCCTGGGTAGAGGAGGAGGAGATGGAATGAGCAGGTGGGGAGCCTGCTTGACAGTTGCTTCTGAGGTTCGTTCAGAGTCACCGAGGCCAAATGTCGCTTGTTATTATTATTATTGTTATAGAAAAGAACGATGAGCCAGCTACTAAGTCGACTGAGTTTGGATAATAGAGATAAAAATGAGCCTAGAGATTTCATACTATGGTGATAACTGCATAGCAAGAATGAATTAGTTCTGTTTGTAAGTTGCTTTTAATCTATAAAATGTTTCCCGTCATCTCACTAAACCTTGTGAGTGGTGGCCAGTGGGGGATCATTGCCCTCTCCAACTGAATATTAGGAAGATGGGTGTTTGAACAGGTGAAGAGTTCTCTTCCTTAATACGTGATGAGCTCTCTGTCACTGGGGGTAGTTCAAGCGAGATGGAATAGCCAGCTGTAGAGGAGGCTGTACAGGAAATTCCCAGGCTGAAGGAGGGCCTGGAGAACATGGGCCAGAGTAAGTGGGCCTTAGCGCTTTGGGGTCACAGGCTCTTCTGAGTGCGGAATGAAAGCTTTAGACCCCCCAGAAAAATAAATGTGTGGAATCATGGCACTTTGCCCGTACCTTCAGTGAGTTCCTGTATCTTTTAAGCACATGGGACCTATGTTAAGAGCTTCCAGCACAGGTGATCGCTTCCAGAATCTGTCACTAAATGGCTTTGCCTGAATCCTAGGTCACATAGTCAGTTGGTGACAGAACTGGGCCTAGAATCCAGCCAGTCCAGGGTCTCTTACAGATCTGGCTCCCATGCACCCCTGCAGTGGGTTCTGCTTTCCTTGAACACAAACCGCGAATTGGTTCGTATCCAGCCTTGCAGTCGCTCTGCTCCTAACAAGCTCTGGCCTGTGTGCCCGTCAGACCCTTCGACTACGAGTGGTACCAAGGCCCAGGCCTTAGATCTCCTCCCTAGTGAGGTGTCTCTTCTGTTAGGTCCACGTCCATGACCATGACCAAAGACCATGGCCATGATGATCTTCTCCTTGGCCTGGAAAATAACTTTCTCCATCATGGGATCTCTGGGTCGGACTTTACACCCTTCCATCTAGTTCTGAGGTTACAAAATGGCAGGCCTGGGCATGAACGCAGCCCAAAGATAGGTCTTGTTGGACCTATAAAATGTGCATTAATTTTTTTTGGAACGAATCGCTAATGTTTAAAGATGAGGGGGATTCATGTATAAGTTCGGATTCCTGATTTTTCTTGGAAAATGGGATTATCTGACACCTTTGATCTTGAGTTCTCACAGGACGATCGTTTGGCAGAGTTGAGCAGTGGCTGTTCCAAGGGAACCTCTAGTCTGTGCTCCGTTCTCCTCTGGCCCACTGACTTCATTTCTGCTACCTTCCTAGCTCCGCCGACATTTCGGTTGTTGGTTCCTGATTGAGCCACTTACCCTGTCCCCTGCCTCCCTGTCCCCTGCCTCCCTGTCCCCTGCCTCACCTCGCTCGGTCTACCACCCTCTCTCCCCCTCCCTCCTTATTTGTTTGTTTAAACACGTCCCACTTTATTTCACAAAGGACTGGTTGTATGAAATAAATATAATAAAATAATAAGAGACAAAGTAATAAGAAAAACTGCCTCAGAAAAGGTTGATTAGATTAGGAGGTCAAGACCACAGGGAAAAAGAGAATATAGAAATTTAGGTCATTTGTTCTAAACAGTTACTACACTTGAACCACAAATTGGCTCTGTGTACTTACATATATTTTATTGCCCGTGAGAGGAAAACATCTAAGTTTCTTAGAGGAGCAAAGCTTTTCCTATAACTTATCTCTAAAAGAACGTTTCCAACTGCTTTTATACAGGCGGGGTCTGTTAACAGAGGTACAGAAAGTTGGTGAGTGAGAAGACTAATTACGAAATATATATTTGATTAAAAAGCTCTTCCTTTAAAAGTCATGTGACCAAAGTAGTCAAGTTAGTTTAAACTTTTTTACCTCTCTGATACTGGTAATACCACCAGGCGATGTCTAGGAAAAAGTAAAAAAACATTTTACCAAATCCGTTCATCAAAAATGCAAAACACACTTTTATTTCCCATGGAGATTCTGCTCCGAGGGTGTCCAGGTCACTGGCCAGCTCGACGTACGATGAAAAGGTCTTGTGGCAGAGCTGGGCTGCCCTTCTCCCTGTCCTCTGCCCACCGTCAGAGCAGGTGAGAGTCACCTCGCCGTGCCCACACCTCCCAGCAGGGGCTCACCCAGCATGCCCGCAGCCATGCAGCCATGCAGCCGGAAGAGAGATGGGATGGCACAGGGCAGAGGATGCACGGGTGTCAACGGGCCTTGTAAATGCCTGCATGTCTGATGGAAGAGTGGCTTATGAGCCTCTCCACCGGGGAGGCCCCACTACCCCTCTCTCTCTGCTGCTTTGTGATCTGAAGCTGCACGTCTGGCAGGATTCTTTATTCACTCACTCAGCAACTATCGATGGAATGTCCACTACGCATATTCCGGCGAATGAAAACTACTCTGGGCCCTGCACTCACGGAGCTTACAATCGACAAGTCTGCTTCTCTCCTCCCTTCTCACGCTGATAAGTAAGAAAGATGCAGAAAAGGAATAGGGCTGGTGGAAAACGAAAACGCACGTTAGGACCTCTGGGCAGAGTGGATGCAGGTGAAGTTCCCTGTTATGCTGAATATAAAACATAAGACAAAACATCAGACCTGGAAAATCTTCCAGAGCGTGGAGGAGTTGGGGTGGGGGCGGGTCCCAGAGAGCCGGAAGTAGTGGCTGTGTTTGCTGCCCTCCCGTTGGGGTTCGATTGAGGGATCTGTCTGGTTTCCCTCCGAGGGCCATTACTTGACCTTCGTCCTGTCCTTCCAGTCCTCCCGACCAAGAGTGTGTAAGGCAGCCCAGCCACCACCACCTTGAGTACATTTTAGTCACCTCCCAGAGAGGATGGGCTTACTGTCCTGCTGACCCTCAACTTGGCAGTATGGGCGGGTGTCCACTGGTGTTTCTGCTCGTCTCCTTACCCGGATTTCATGGGAGAAACTTACTTTGCTCGATTTAGTTGCCCTCTTTTTATCACTCTGATTAAGCAGCATTTACATTTTTCCTAATAGACTTTATTTTTAGGGCAGTTTTAGGTTTACAGGAAAAAAGCACAGAAAACACAGAGTTCCCACATAGCCCACCCCCTCAGTTTCTCCTGTTTATTAGCATCTTGCATTGGTGTGGTCTATTTGTTACGAGTGATGAATCGAGATCGATCTCTTTTTAACTGATGTCCACCGTTTACATGAGAGGTCACTCTTTACGTGGTATAGTTCTGTGGATTTTGACAAACGCGTGATGTCTTGTATCCCCCATTACAGTATTCTACAGAATCATTTCACTGCCCTAAACATGCCATAGCCAGTTGTCGTCATGTAGAATTTAGGCCCAGTGAGTCCAGATGTTGAGATTTTTCAAGAGATGCTACCATTAAAAGATTGTTTGTGTCCTGATTCTTAGATGTTTATCAATGAGTTGAACACTTACAACATACAGCATGGGCCAAACGTAACATTCCTGTTTGTAGGATGTTGTGAATGGCTGGCCTGGAACTCTTCAGTGGCAAGTCAGCCCAAGCAGCGTGGGTATGGCTAAGACACCGGGAACCGAGAGGAGCAAGCTCTAACTCATGCCACCGGGATGGCAGGGGACTGGGAAGGGGACAGGGAAGGCTTCAAGGGGAGATGACAATTCATCTGAGTCTTGAAGGAGGAGGGGACAAGGCAACAGCATCTGCACAGGCACAGATGCCAAATGTCCTGGGAAGGGTGAGCTGTCTTGCGGCAGAGCTGACCTGTCACAGAGAACAATCAGAAAAAGAGGATTTAAAAATGCCACATCCATTTGGGGGCGTTGGTGAGCTCCCCAGGTAGCGTGCACTTTAGAAGCCATGATTCTGGAGGGAAGAGAAACTCATTAAAGTGAGCCTGATGAGCAACACTGCTTTTCAACTCAAAGTGTATGCTGATTTATAAGTGGTGGGCATGAGGTTGACAAACTGAGCAAAAAGCGTCTGCTAAGAGCAAAGAACATGAGCAGAACCTTCAGAAATCTGGAAAGACAAAAACTGGATCAGTGTGTCTAAGACATTCAGGACTTGAGGGGCCAAGACTAGGGGGCCACAGAGCCATGAGCCCGATAGCCCGAGCTGCTTATTCCCTCAAGGCATTTGCTAATCATTCCTAGTGACAGAGGAAGAGAAACTCAGCCAAAGCCACAGCCAAAAGATAGACTCAAACAGAGCTTTCTGCAGGCTCACAAAGACAAATGGAAACTCTTAGTACAAGAGAACCATGTTTGAATAAAAAGCAAACCCTAACTAAATGTTACTTGCAAGCACAAGGACACGAGAAAGGTCAAAGGGAAAGGGTGGGAAAGGGTACAGGATGCGAACCCAAATCAAGAAAAGCAGCCTGGTAATTTTAACATTAGGTAAAGTAGGCTTTAAGGCAAGAAACTTTTCTAGAGAGAAAGAGGCAGTTTTCATAACGAAAGGGGCCATCTACTAGGGAGACGTAACGGTTCTAAATTAGCAGGCACTAATAATATAGTTTCGAAATACGTATAAAGCAAAGACTGACAAACTAAAAGGACAAATAGCAAATTCACCGTCATAATTGGGGGATTTAAAGACACCTCTCTCAGTAACCGATCGAACAAAAAAAAATCAGTAAGGGTGTACTGATTTATTGAGTTTGTTTATTGTGGGCAACACAATAAACAAACCTGGCCTCGTTAAGAACAATCGTAGAATACCACATGTCCTTTTCAAGTGCACATAGAACATTTACCAACATCGCCTATTTCCTGGGCCATAAAGCCAATCTCAACAAAGCTCGAAGAACTGAAATTATTCGGAATGTTTTCTATCCAGAGTGGAATTAAGCAAGAAATCAAGAGCAAAAAGGAAACGCGGAAATCGGCAAATGTTTGGAAATCAAGCAATAGGGCCCTTATTCCTAAGTAACTCATGTATCAAAGAAGAAATCTCGTGGAAATTAGAAAACATCTTGAACTAAATGATAATGGAAAGATGCCATATTGAAACTTGTGGGATGCTGTTAAGACTCTACCTCGAGGGAAATTTACAAGAGCATGATGTACACGAGCTGCGAATAATTTAGGTGACAGTGTGCTTAAAATGGAATGCCGTGTCTCTTCTCAAAATCCTATCTCTAGCGTTTCCAGAGGTCCATTTCCAGTCCAGAGGTCCATTTTGAATGTCGCCTAAACTATGTTGGTTGCATTACTGGTGATGGCAAGCTGGCATCTGAGACTGCGATCTTTCCTCTCCCCTTAAACATGGTCGATTGGTTTATTCTGGATGAGCATCATCTTTCCAATGGACGACTTACCCCAACATAATCAGAGGTGAAGATCCTGATGGTGCCTCATGGAGCAGAGTGGGAGACAAGTTCCGTCTGGTGCCGAAATATAATCCTGGAGGCCGGGATTCCTACAGCCCAGGCTTGGAGGTGAGTCGTAAACTCACTCAGACGCACACGGCACACACAGCTCATCAGCTCCGAATGTTATAAACTTCACGATGAGTCCCGGGAGGGCTGAGCTGAGCCTTGATAAAGATTTTCTGAGTGTTCCAGACATTTTTTTCCCAGGCTTCTCGGTTCAATAAAACTCAAATCATGTTTTGCTCCAAGCGTTTGTTCTCTTAACCCTCCTGCCCCTTTTAAGCAAAATTGAATTTATACATTTCTCATTCATTTATACCTCGGTCCTGAAAACGTTCTGAAAAAGAATCTTACCAAAAAAAAAAAAAAGAAAAAAGAAAAAAATCTTTGAGTACTGCCACTGCCGTTTGACGGGAGATTTTCCAGATCGAATGAGTTGAAAATTCTTCCATAGTCAGTGTATTTTAGTTCTCTGATTTTTTTTCCCCGAATGAGGGCGTGTTCGAACGTGGCCTTCAGGTCAGTGCCCTGGGTGGGTGGGGTGTGAGGGAAGGGAAGGGTGTCAGACGCACCTTGCAGCTTCTGGAAAGGCTGCTGGGTGGCGGGGGAGGCGGGTAGAAATTGTCTGAAATGTAATGCCATTATTAAAAGTCCACAAAGTCACTACACGGATTGTGGCAAAAGTCACAATTCTGTTGGTTGTGTGACAAGGTAACATTCACACTTGTTTCAGCGAGATTGCAGAAACCAAGAAACTCTTGGAAAAGAAGTGAGTCATCTCGATCCCAGGGCTGGCAGAGCAAAGGAGCCCTGCGCAGTGTTCAGGACCTGGAGCAAGGCCACATGCATTAGGGACTCTGTGTCTCTCATCCCCAAAGCTAAGGCCCTGGCCAAGGCTGCAAAGTAGGAACGTGGAGACCGCTGTCTTGTCACTGCCACAGGCGGAAGTCTCTAGATGATGTTTTAAGCTGACCTCTTTGTCGGGAACTTGTGCCCCAGGATGAAACTTTCATGATTTTCTGAGGCAGCTCCAGCCTTCGCCACAGCTCCAGGGAGCAATTAGGGAAATGAGGCCCAAATCCTGTCCCCAGCTAGCATTCCGGAGCAATGAGGAAACCACCCACTGTTTCTCGTTTGGTCTCAGCTGGACACTGCCCTGAAGTTCCAGAACAAGGAGGTAGCTGGTTAATGAGCGGTGGCCGCCCTGTGCTGGGGACAGAGGGCATGTCGCCCAGGATGAATGGGTCTAGACGATTTCCGCAAGAAATAAGAGGATTACATGGGGGGGGGATTTGGCTAATCTTGACTGAGGAGCAAAAAATGACAATTCATTGCAAATGAGGAGGAAGAGGGGAAGCTAGTGTCCAGGGAACAAGGGTGCTTGTAGTTTTAAGATGGAAAAATGAAGGTGTAGAGAGAGGTTGAAGGAATGCTCAAAGGAAAAGTAAAATTGCCACGTGACTGGGACTTACTTCAGGTCGGCAGAGAGTTTTCTCATCCAGGGACCAAGGTCAGGTTAAGCCGTGAACGCCTGCCTTCCGGTCTGCTTTGAAGGGTAAT